ATCTACAACTTTACTTAAGCGTTGAAAATAGGTTTACTTAGTAAAGAAAAAAGGTTTGGTTGAAAAACTCCAAATTCAGAAATTTTAAAGACAAAAAAAAAATTTAGTAAACATATTTTTACTGTTTACTATGTTTCGTCACTGAACCTAAACATGTTCATGAATCTGACTGAACCAAAACTTTAAGTTCAGGTTCAGTTCAGGTTCATAAATTCAAAGTTCAGGTTCAATGATCTGCAAAATTTGAAGTTCAGGTTCAGGTTCATTGAATCTGAACCTGAACTGAACTGAACCTAGAAACCCTACCTCAAAGCTACCTTTAATAGTGACCTTGTAACAATTACAAACCTTTATAAAAGAAGTATAAAACCATTTATGAAGGCTAAAAGCATAGAAAATCTTTCTATAATTCTATACGATAGTATTACAGATCTTGACTCAGACAACGAATCAAACAGAAGCACCAATAAGCAGATTATACAAACATTAGCCTCTACCAATCCTAGCCATCCTCAAGACCCTGTCACAGGACACACAATTATTAGTACATACAACAATAACACAAACCCTACACCTGATACAAACAAACTCCCTAGTACTAAACAAGACCACCACACCCAGACCCAGTACATCTACTAACCAGATCACCCAGCTGGTACTTACTACACCTAACCCCAAGTATATCTCTGTAGCCCCTACAGCCAACCCTAACACCAATCATAAAAAACCTAAAAACTTATCTAATATTTCTCCACTTGCTATCACCTCGAATAAAGCTACCAAGGCTGTATTAGGCAATACCTCAACTCCTATTAGAATATAAGCAAGTACAAAGACATCTACTACAAAATTGACATATAGCCAAGCTGCTCAAACAGATTTAAAGCTACTCAAGACTGATGCTCCTGAAGATGAAATAAAGTGGGCTTCAGAAGTATATCTCAAAACTACTAAACCTATTGATATACCCTTTGATACAAGTATCTGGTACTTCGACAAAATTGCAAAAGCTCTTGAGACCCCTGAAAGCATCTATAACTTTAATAGCTATAAGCTTATTGCTACCCCAACCCAGTGTTGTCAGTGGACATGGACATGTCCATAGACTTTCCATAGACATAGACGTTCATGGACATGGATATATAAAAATATGGATGTCCATATCTATGAACATATAAAAATATATTTATGTCTATGTCCATAGACATTGGACATTGTGTCCATGGACTGTCCATGTCCAATAATTTGCTTGGACATATGTCCATGTACAACACTGCCCCAACCAACTACAAGCTACCTGAAGCAATCGCCCTTAAGTTTACTCACCAGAATACCAGGTTTTTCACATTATTCACATGCAACCCAAAAACTACTCCGGCTCACCAGAAAGAATATAATGAGCTTTTCAACAATGCACTTGCAGCCTACAAACAAAATAATGAGATTACACTTACCAATATTACTACTCGTAAAACTATTTATACAATGCTCAGAACATGGCTTATTGTCTAACACTTGTCAAACCTTAACTTTTCTAGAACTACGTACAGAGGAATATGCAGTATTATCCTGTATGCTAGAGGCTTTCTAAAGATCAAGAATACCAGTGAGGAAACTTTTAAAGAAATCATAGCACAGATAAACAAAGCACTAGAGAACAAGCTTATCCCATTACCTGATACACCAGAATAGATATCCAAAGAGGTTCAAGAGATCTTGCTCTTTGGACCTCCTATCAAAGTATGATTACACACTAGAGCTGTAGTTAATGATCTAAAAAGAATCTACAAATTTTCTGAGCTCCCAGATGCATACTTTGTCAAACAGCCCCCATTACCTTCTTATTACTGTGAACTTTCACCTAGCCTGTGCCAACTATTTCCAATATCTCATAGATCTTCACTTCAATATCTTACTTTATACAAAAGAAAGTTAGCAGATTCATATACCGTTACCCAATTCCAGACTTATACTTTGACCTGCCACCTCTCAGAAAACCCTTACCCACCTTTCAACCAAGTGACCTCTCTTATATCTTTAGCAGAAGTTATTTCTTAACTTAGAGAATATTATATATTTAAACTTTTACCAAATGATTTCTTTGCTATCAAACCTCCTCTTTCTACAGAAATTAGCAAAATCAAAACTACTATGGCTTTCAAGTTTTCTATCACAGATGATACAGTGGCGAGAGAATTTATAAAACAAATTTCTTCTCGTTATAGAGTCCAACTTCCACTTCTTACAGAAATTATGCAAGCCAACCTTACTAACAAACCTACTTTGCCATCTGCTGAAGAAATTACAAAACTATATAATATCTCTTTTCCAGTTACAACTAAACACCAACTTATATTTACGGCAAGACTACTTCGCAAGTATTACTACTTCAACCAGCTTCTCTCAGATTGAATACAAATTAATAACAGCTATTCGGCTAATACTGAGAACACTAACCCAACTAGCAAGCAAGCTCTCCCCAATATTCCAGAAGACATAGAGGAAATTATCTAAACATTATCAAAACAAGAAATTATTGTCTCATTTCTAATCTAAAACCAACCAAATATTACTCCAACTATGAAAATCCTTAGATAGTTCTATACAGTTAAAAAAATCTCTGATAATCTGCTTGATTTTCTTCCTCTTCCTACTTCAGCCTGGGGCATTTTCAGCTACACACCTACACCACCTAGTCCAACTACTCCAAGTACAATACAATCTTTTACAGAGGCCAAAACATATATCATATCTATGGAGAATATTGTAACCAATACAAGCAGCACTTTTTCACCTACTAATACTCTATTATTATCTTTAATCTTAGTAGAAAAAAGCACACTCAATAATACTCAAAATATTACATCATCAGACAATTCAGGTATCTCACTTCCAGTAAACAACCTCGTGCCAATGGATACAAATGAGCACTCAAATAAGTAACTCCTATACTCGAATGAATAACTCCTCATACCCACCTACAAGCAACATATGAAATTCCAACACTAATATACTTTGCCCTCTTATACTTTTAATTTGTATACATAATGTACAAGGTTTAAACATACAAATGTTAAAAAAGAAACATGAGAACACTACTATATACAGCACAACCTTGATATTGCTAGCTTAACAGAGACCAAACTCTCTAATGAAACAGTTCATTACAAGCAACACAAAACTCTGCACCAACAGCTCTCGAGCTAGAACTGCTATTATGATTTGCAACCATATAGCTCCTTATATTTATAAAATTACTATGGTCCCTGGCTATGCTATAGCAATAGATCTCTTTTTCAAGAATGACTTCAAGTTTTGTATTATCTCTCTTTATCTATCTAGCAATGATGCACAGCTTAGACTCCAAATACAAAATACTATTATTCAATGACTATAGCAAGCAAGAGCACAAAACATCTTCTCTATCACGCTAGGAGACTTTAATATATTCACAAATAATATATACACACAATCAATTAAATATAAACTTCTTCAATATCTAGTATACAATAACATGTACAACTTGGCCTTACACACTCACAAATCAGCCCCTATTTGGCACAAAGCTAACCTTAGCAGTGAAATTGATGATTTGGGTCTATCAACAAATTCTCCAATATCTCACAGACTATAATACTGATAACTCAGATACTAGTATATTAAGTGACTACAAGATTCTGATCTCCCATTAGCTCTTTCCTTTTACAACAACAGGACAATCCAGATACAAAACTTGGACCAAGAGAAGAGTTTTTGACTATAAAGCTATGAACCAAGAAAAATGAGAAAACTTCACCAACCAGGTCGATACTAATCTATGCCAATATCACACTATCTACAATACTGACTTCAGAAACCCTAGAGACTACCTGGCACAAGATTCAAACAAGCATTATTACTGCAGCACTTCAGCATATTCCTAATAAAAAATTCACAGTCTGTAATTTCCAGCATACTTTTTTTTCTAAAGCGACCCAACTCCATTATAGCCTTAAGAAACTCAGTAATACTATTAGACAGGTCAAACACTCACTAAAATCCAAATGTCAGGCCTCTACTCAGCTAAATGCTACAATTACTCAACTCAATTAACTACATGACCTCTATATACCTTACTCTTCTACAACACCCCAGCTCACTACCAACTGGCTAGTATTAGCCAATGCAGAGTAGAAAAAGTTATACCATATATGCAACTTGAAAAATATTAGACAAACACAGCAGCAAATTACTGAGGCAATTTCTAGAAGATGACAAGACTTCAATCAAACCCTATATTAATGCTCAATAGTATTCTCAACTGCCAAAGAGACCCAGTAAGGTTCAGCAACATCAAGTTAGACCAAGAAGTTATTACTGATCCACACTCAATCAAGTCCCATATCCAACAATATTTCAATAACTGGACAGCCCTTCATCCTATAAACCAAGAAATATTTAATAAATACTGGCAAGAAGAGTACAATCCCAAAACTCATATTCTATCTAACTAGTACTCTACAGCTCTCTCTATCTATGCTCTTAGCTAACTATCTAACAACAAAGCATGTAGGCCATCAGGAATAAGCTATGAGATGCTTAAACACGCAGGCCCCAAGTTTATACAGGCTATAACAGCACTGCTAAATCGATGTTTTATTTTCCAAACAATCCCTAAGCAATGGAAAGAAGGAAGAATTTATCCAATTTCCAAGAAACCTATCTTTGATGGCAATCTATCTAATACTAGACCTATTAGTCTCATTTAACACATCAAGAAACTCTATACCAAACTTCTCACTAACTGTCTAAACAACATCCTATCAAAACACAAAGTTCTTTCCTCTTTTAACTATGTTGCACTCCACTTCTATTCCAATACATATTTTCAACAATATCATAGAGGATGCCACATGTAGGGGTCGTCTAAAGCCATGTACCCACGTGACTTTTTTGTAAAAATCAACCAACCAGGATCGCGAAATTTTGTTTACACAGATCAGCTCAAAGAAGTTAAAAAATAAAGAAAATGCAAAAATATGAAAAACGACAGTCTAAACCTGTCTTGAAGCATTAACAAAAAATGTCGGGAAGACGATTTTATCTATAAACCTGCTTTTCTCCTAACTACCACCATAATGCTAAACTATTTCTAATTTTGATTTTAATTAAAACTTCGAAAAATCACATAGGTATATGGCTTTAGCCATCCCTCACATGTAGCTCTAACCAGCTCTGGATTCTCTCACAGGACATAAGTAAAGTCTACGACTCAGTTAATCTTGACTTGTTCTAGAAGTCCCTGCATAAAATTAATATGCCTAAGCCACTTATCAATATTTTTACCAATCTTTTTACAGATTGTACAAATCATATAATTACCAACCTCGGACTCACAAGTCTCTACTCAGTACAAAATGAAATTGATTAAGGAGAAACTATAACCCCACTATTCTCAAAAATATACTATGATCCACTTATCACAAATATATTATTAAATCTACTAGGTTATACTATGCAAATATCCTGGCAAACTAGCCTTACTTTATCCTTCTCTAAGCGCCTGTTGTGCTAAACTTCTGTACTTGCTTACATAGATGACACTCTGTGGATTTCCCAAACTAAAAAAGATTTGGAAAAAATAATATATACTGCCTCCTCCTTCTATAAAATGGCCAATATTTAGATTAATCCTTCCAAATTAGTCTTTATATTAAACCATCTAAAAGCAAATATCTTCTTTGTACAAACTAGTCTAGTTTCTATTCTCCCCAACTAGCTTTTCAAATTCCTTGGATATTGATTTACTCCTAATAACAAACACTCTAAACAAATCAAGCTTATTTAGAAAGAGGCTCTCAATTTAGCTTATACAGCCAACACAAAAAAAATAACAGACAAACAAATAGCCTATGTTATCAATATAGTAATAATTTCTACAATCAAATACAGAATCTGCAACATTATCTTATCACATTCTACATGCCTCAAAATTTTAGAAAAATACCTTACTATTTTTAAGCACAAAGCTAATTTTTCTCAGTCTACACCCA